GAGGCTGCCCGGCACGGGGCAGCCCCGGGCAGCAGCTCGCTGCTGCTTCGAAATCATTCCCTGAAGTAAATGACAGGGCTCCCGCGCTCACCCAGCCTCAACTCGCATCCCATGCGGCGGGCTGATTTATCTTCCAGCCCGTGGGATTGTAAACTTGTCCCCTGGGCCATCCTATTAGATACAGCAATCCAGAAAATCCAGTAATACAGAGAAAATGTTTCCAAACCACCCCAGTATTGCTGCCTCCCTCCGCCAACCGCCTGCCCAGGCAGGCAATCCAACACAAGCAGTCCCTCCTACAAAGCTCCAGAAAAAGGAAACTTACAGCAGACTTCTTGCTTAAAGTAGAAGTTTCTCAGCAGAAAACTGTTCTTGATTAACGATTTTTATATGTGCTTAAGGAAATTCTATTGACTGAATGTTAAAAAAGCCAAAATTACTACTGGAAGAAAATTAACCCTTCTTAAACATGTTTAGCTCTATTTCAGCATGGCTCATGTTCCAGAATTGAGTCTTCCTAAGTATCTTCAGGATGCGTAGAGCCATTTATAATGGACTTAAACGCTTTGTTGTAAAGTCTTCTGAGAAGAACAACACATTTGTTTTTCTTAATTACCTTTCATAGATGCCCTGGTATCCCCAGGCCCCTCCTACCACGCACGAATCCATGGCCCAGGACTGAGGAAGATTACTCGGTATGACTAACTGCGCGAAGAAGAGGGCGAGTGGAGTGATGCTATAAACAGCATTTTACAAGAAACATTTAACATTTAGGAAAGAGCTGACCTTTAGTTGTCTCTCATCTATGGTCCCATCTCACCCTGCTTACTTTATGACACTTAAAATCACTCAAATTTATTTATTTGAAGACACAGTTATCAAAATAGTGATCTGTGAAATAAAACCAACTGCGAGTATAAACAACCATATTTGCAGAACCTACGTAGCAATATTTCTCCATCCCGAAGCCCACTCTCCTCTACCCAATCATGGATCTCTTCCTTCCCCTCCGTCGTACTTCATCCAGCTTTTTGAGCACAGGACCAGATTTTTTAGATGTGGCTGCATAGGTCTTTAGCAGAGTTTTAAATGCATTTTCAGTATCGGGATGAGTACTAAGGAAGACTTTTTCCAGAACATACAAATCAACTCCTTTATCCTCCGGAAGACCTGAAATAAAACTGAGTCCAAAGTCTATCAGCACCAAGTCCAGCTTCTCCGTGGGTGGTCGCAGAAGTATATTGGATGTTGTAAGATCCCCATGTATAAGATCTTCATCGTGCATTCTTGCTAACAGCTCACCCATCTTCCCTGCTAAGGCAAGGAGGCTACTGCTATCGTTGCCACTCTGTTGCAGAGAATTAATGTGATCTTGAACAGTAATGGAGTCTACAATATCTTCAAGATATATGGAGTTGGTGGCATAATCCACAAAGTAGACCACTGGAGCTGAAATCCCTATTTAAAAAAAAAAAAAAAAAGAACAAGTGAAATGCTAACGGTTAATTTACAGGATTTTCCAACTTTTATTTTAACAACAAAACATAACCTCTACATGCCTTAAGCAGGAACACCAGTTGAGATCACACCCAACCACTGATAACCCCAGAAAATCCCCCCTGCCAATCCCCCAGTTTTCAACCCATGCCACATTAGCCTCCAGCTTTAAAACGAGTTGGCAGCTTGAGCTTGGTAACAGCATCAGCCCCTCCTGGGGCAAGACTCCCTGGGTAAAAATGCATAGGGGCTTTTTGGCCGAGGACAGCCTGCACTTTAGGGGGCACCCTGACAAAAAGAGAGCAGGTCACCCCAGGATGAGAACCCCCCTGCACCCTTCAGGAACGCGAAGGCCGTCCAGTGTCTGTTATTTGCTCTGAGGGACGTGGGAGCCGGGGGTGCACCCGGCGCCCAGGGGTGTCTGTCCCCTCAGGGCAGCCTCGCCTCACGCCGCCCCAGCCC